CAAGTAAGAAAGTCTAAGTTCGGGCGGAGCCGAACATTAAATACCCGGCGCAAGTATTAAATATATGTTTTCCACCTTTCCGAAAGCTACCGCTACATGATAAGCCGGGGTGTATACATTGACGGACAGACAGTCACCGCTTAATCGATTTCTCTTTTCATTCTGATCATTTATGTATACATTTGTCTATATCTATCTCGATTCGTTTTGCCTGTTACAAACAACCGTTATGTGAACAAAGTTATAATACCCTTGTGCACAAGTGCGCTCGGGTATAATAAACTGATATACATAAATGTATAGACACACTCTATTTAAAAGGTCTATGTTTCTTCTTTCTTAAGTGATGAGGAAGTGAACATGGGTTGTGATATTCAAGTAATTTACAGGCTTTTAAATACGCAAAGGTTGTATATATATATATATATTGATGTACAATGTACATATCTATAATATGTACATATGTAGGTACATGGGTACAAAATATGCTGCGATCGGCTTATACATATTTCCCCTCACCCGCGCAATCTGTTTTTGGTATCCTTTTGTCTCTGCCATTACCTAACTGTTTTTACCCATGCACATGTTTGCAAATTGATGACGAAGTGATTTTGTATGGAAAAGCATTTATGCCCATATATTTGAATAAAATAAACATATGTACTTAGAAGATATCAACCAATACTTCCCATGCACCAAACGAAAGGAAAACGCCTGAATTTTTGATTAAAGAAAACAAAAACAAAATCATTCGAGCTGTTTTCGAGCACTTTGATATTAAAAAAAAGTTGCGAATTTTTTCAAAAATTTTTTGCCTTTAAATGCTCGATATTTGTTGAATTTATATAAAATTTGTACACGATAATATTTCTACTGCTCTAAAGAACCTATATCCCGAAAACGAAAGTTAGATCTGCCAACCATAAGTTGCTAGAGTACTTTAAACGCTCAAAATTGACCCCAAAATAAACCAATATTTACCGTTGTTTCCATGACAGACAACAAATCGGTTACTTACATACATAAATGTATCTGTCAATAGATTTGGAATTTTGTCTTTGAAACGGCACACTTTTCTCTGAAATCGCTTCAGTAGTTCTCGTGCAATAAGCATTTTCGTGAAGCTCTAAAAATTACAACTACAACATTTGAGCCTCCATATCGAAACGTAAGACGTATTCTACGTCATAAATATAGTATTTATTGTGCCTGACAGCTTTTACTTTTAACAACATTTAATGAAAAATTCATTTAAATTTATACTCGAAAGTTTGAAATATTTGTGTATTTATTTTTCCTTTTAATTACACACACACACAAACACAAACAATTGTATGTATGTACATATACATATCTATACATATGTACAAGGACGAATTTTCATTATTTATACATGTGATATTGTGTATCTAACAAGTAATTTTTAACAAAAAAAACCGACTTAAAAAAATATATATAGTGTATATACATTTCATGATCCAATGATCGGATCTAAACCAAATTAGTACGGGACCACCTCTGAGACACTACCCTTCTATTGTAAAAAGAATTACCGAAATCGGTTGACGTGGTCCAAAGTTATGCGGTAACATACGTACATAAAAAAAAATATATATTCCGACGAACTGATAACCTCCTCCCTTTTTGGAAGTCGGTTAAAAATATATAGATGCGAACCACCACGCATAGATATGTGCATATAAATGTATGTATGTATATCGCATAAAACGACTTAAAAAACATTTAGCTATGTTTAAATCAAAATTTTTTTATTTTTTTAGTTGACCATTGACCTTGGAATTCACGATAAGGAATTTATTTTTGACGAATCGAAATAGTTTGGCTGCTAAAAAGAGACAAGAGGAGTTTAAAATACTATTTCAGTTAGGTCTCTATTAATTTTCGATCGCTAGATATTTGCTCCCGTATAACAGTAAACTTCAGATATACGAAAACTGCGATATTTCAATGGGGACGCTAATTTACTCCAAGTTAATAGTTACAACAATCTCCTAACAATAGATAAGACTGCTATACACTCTAAAAAAAAATTGTGTAGATTTCCTACCTAAAAGGTAGGTTACTGATTTCCTACCATATTATTCGCGAAATTACATGCTCGATTATTCAACGAATAGTTTGTTTAAATTTCGGACTTTTTAGAGTGTGATATAGCTGTTGTGGTGTGCGTAAATTTACTACAAAAGTGTGTGCAAGCAACAAAATACACATCTGCTGTTTGATTTCACCCGTAGATATGTATAAAGCCGTCAACAAAAAGGATTTTTACGCACGAAAATGTGTAAACGAGAAAAATATACATATTCATCGTGTATATTTACCAAAAAATACTAAAAATAAACAAAAATATACTCGATTTATAGTCGCATTTTTAAACAGATTTTTTAGAGTGTAGACTTTTAGGAATTGGGCGTAGCACCGCCCACTTTATAACTACAAAGGTGTACCTCGGTGTAGGGTATTTTACTTGTACGTTTTTATACTTGTTTAAATTCTTGATTTTCAGTTTATGGTTCTATAAATTTGTTTGTTGTTAAATAGAAAATTTTTGATAATTAATAAACCAGCTTTCAAACAAGAAAGAAAATAAATTTTTAAATTGAATAATATATCATACGATATATTGGCGATCCTGGCGTATCCTGTGCAAACAAAATCAACAAATTTGCAACGGCTAGCGAAGTAAGCCTTACACCAAGTCAGAATGCAGAACAAGCCAAGATAAATGAGCGAAAAAATCCACTAGATGCACTAAGTCGTTTATCACTAAGGCATCAGGGTTTAGAAAAACGTTCGGGTCTACTAGACGTTGATGATGAATACTTAAAAAAGAATGTCTTTTCTCGTTCAATTTTAAATAAGCATTCGGGACTGAACGACTCTTATGAACAGCATGGTCGTGCAATTTGTTGGTAATTTCAGCCATATCAGCCGCCAACGGAATTTGTATCACATCAGCAACTACCACCACAATAGCAACTATAGCATTTTCAGTTTAAATGAAACCATTTTCAATTTAAGCGAAACCTTTTTCAAATTAAATGAAACCTTTTTCATGTTAAGCGAAACCTTTTTCAAATTAAATGAAACCTTTTTCAGATTCAGTGAAACTTTATTCAAATTAAATGCGACCTTTTTCAGATTCAATGAAACTTTATTCAAATTAAATGAAACTTTTTTCAAATTAAATGAAACTTTATTCAAATGAAATGAAACTTCTTTTTTGGATTACTTTGAATTAGCTGTTACGTGTTGCTCTCC